TGGAGAATGTGCTCAGGAGCGTGGCACCCCGCAGCCCTGCACCCATGGAGGTCTTGTGTGAACATGGGTGGGGAGGGGAGGGCCAGGGCAGGGAGCAAGTTCTCAGACAAAACTACAGATGCGTGAATTCCATCCCTGCCGCTTGCCAGTCACGTGACCTCAGGGAAGCCACCTGCCTCTCAGAGCCCCCACTTCATCATCTGTACAGTGGGGAGGATGCAGGCAGCCACCTCCCAGAGCTGTATGGTGTGGGGAGGCCTTTGCCTCCCGACACCCAGTAATCACTCAGTAAGTACCTATTGTCATTCGAGGTAAGAAAGAGAATCCAGAATTTTATCACTGGATGGCAAGACAGTCTGTTGGCTTACATGCGAGGACACAGGGGCCCGGAGGGGCAAAGGGGCCCCATGTGAGCACACGGTGAGCCAGGACCAGGGCCCTCGTCACCTGCCAAGTCCAGCCCCTCCCACCACAACTCATCTGGAGAACAAGCCCAAACCCCAAACTTTCCGGCACCCAAAGGAGAGCCTCTGCACCACACAGAGCTGGCAGCCAAGGCGCTCGCTCTTCAGAGCCCTGGGGGCCACGCAGCCTCGGCACTGGGGTTGCACATTCGAGAAGCTACCGGGGCCCTGCCCTTCCGCTGGTGCTCATTAGGAGCAGGGCAGGAGACAGGGCAGCGTTCCCGGGCATTCTGCTCAAATGGCCTCCATGGCCCTTCCACTTTACGGGGCAGTTTCGCTCACATCCATGACCTCGCTGCCCATTACCCTGGTTTCCCAGAGCTGTAGATCAAGACCAGGTCTGGAAGGGTCCAGACGCGAGCCATGCCGCCAGGCCAGACAAGGACAGCCCTGCCTGTTAGCGAGCTGAGTGTTTAGGAGCCCCAGCAGGTTGGTCCTCACCATTGGTGAATTCCACCTGCAGGCGCAAAGCTGCTGCCTGGTTGGCTCTCGGCCCTGCAAACCATGGGGATAAAGGAAAAGGGAGGCTGTCTCCGGGGCCATCTCTCTCGGTGTCCTGCAATTCCTGTGAGAGTGTGAGGCACGCGCAACACCCCTTGTTTCCAGCAGCCCCAGAATTAAAGACACTGCTCCCCATGGTGTCTGATGGGTGTGGACCAAGCAAGGTGACTCCCTCCCTGCCCTGGACGCGTCCCTGCTGGAACGTCATCCATCAGCTCTTGGAAGTTAAGTAAGCCAAGGGTGGTCCAGTTAAGAAGCCAGCCAGAGGACTACCCCTTATCTTTAACTTGTTAACTCCTGCAGAGCAGGTCACCCCCAGGTCACCTCCGGAAGACGGCCCCTCTCCTTCACACGGGCTGCCGGGCACACACCGCATGCGCAGAGTGGTACGCAGCATACAGCAATTTCTTCCAGGTTGGAAGGGACCAGAGGAGGCTAATGAGTTTCTAGGTTGAAGACTTGGGCATTAGGGAATCATCCACTCAGTCCATGGGGTCTGATGAGCGGGGGGGCGGTGGGGAGTGCCTGACAGGGTGGGACTCTGGAGCCCCTGGCCACGGCCACCTGGCCGTGCATCTGTGTAATCTGTTGGGTTTCTGCCCAAGATTTCTTTCAGACAGAGAGTTCTGTTGCTGTTAAAAAAAAAAGGAAAAGGAAAAAGAAAAAAGAGAGGGGCGCCTGGGTGGCTCAGTCGTTAAGCGTCTGCCTTCGGCTCAGGTCATGATCCCGGGGTCCTGTGATCGAGCCCCGCATCGGGCTCCCTGCTCAGCGGGAGTCTGCTCCTCCCTCTGCCTCTGCCTCTCCCCCTGCTCGCTCATGCTCTCTCTCTCTCTCTCTCTCAAATGAATAAATAAAATCTTAAAAGAAAAGAAAAAGAGAGCCACTGAATTGGTCCCTCCACTTGGTTAAAGCCGCATTCCCAGGGTAGTCCTGTTCTCCCCGCCGCCTGCCAGGGAAGACGGCAAGAGTTACACACTGGCTCCCCCGGGCTCGCTCAGGTCCGCCCAGGGAAGTCGAGCAGAGCCGGGCGGGGACCCTGGCCTGGCGCCTCGCTGCCCCATACTGCACCTCTCCGTCTAGGACACACGAGACCTTGTTCCCTCCACACCGTGTTTATTCTCAGGATGGTCCAGGGGCACTCCCGTAACAATGATTACAACATCCACTAACATTTGTGGAGTCCTTACTATATATTGGGGACTGTGCTAAGGGAGGGATTTTAAAAATGGCCTCTGCTTTATAGCGTAAGGCCATTTTATTATTATTTCCGATTTGCACATGGGGAGCCTGAGGCCAAGGGAGGTCAGACCAAATGCACCCAGCCAGTGAGTGACGAAAACAGAGTGGGAGCGCAGGCCCACCTGCTCTAGCGCCCTTACCCTCTCTCCACCCCGTCTCCACACCCTCTGCCTGTGGCCACCCTTTCCTTTCAGGGCTGGCCCCGGGCTGCTCCACTCTGTGGCCTTGGCGGGGTCCCATGTCTGCCAGGGGTACTGCAGGACCTTGAGGAGGAAAGGGCCCACGAGGGAAGGGGGGCACCACTTCTGGGCACTGCCAGCACAGACTGTTCCGGGAGCTCCTCTGTCTTCAAGCTAGCACCAGCCCCCCGCCGTGCATGCAGCCCCCACCCTCCCCGCTGCAGCCTGGGGTCTGTGTTGGCATCTGCTCCCCCTAGCCACTGACTCAGCACTTCCTTCTCTAGGGGAAGCCGCCAGGCTGCAGTGGGTGTGAGTGCGTGTGGAGGGGAGCAAGTGGCCTCTCGGGGATCCTTCTAGGCCCACCTCAGCTACTCCACCATCCCAGTTTCCCGTGTGATGTGGGGCTCAGCATCCAGGTTTCCCCTTTGCGTAAGGACACCAGTCCTGCTGGATAGGGGCCCACCCTAATGACCTCCTCTGAACTTGATCATCTGCAGAGACTCTATTTCCAAGAAGGTCCCATTCATAAGTCCTGGGGTGAGGACTTCAACTGCTCTTGGAGGCACACGATTTGACCCATAACACCACCCCCCAGACTTGCGGGGGGATTAAATGAGCGAAGGCATGACGTGCCTGCCACAGAGAGTCATCCCTCAACGAGTGTCCTCGTGGGCCTGTGGCTATCTCCCTCCTGGCAAGGTGGCTGCCAGTGTCACGGCCTGCCCTGGGGGGGGACTGCCTTGGGGATGGTGCAACCCTGGCGTGTGGTCAATGTCAGGAGAAACTGCGGTGGAGACATTGATGCTCCCCGCCGGGCCCCAGACCTCACGTCACCCATCAACCAACGCAGCCGCGGCTCCCCTCATGCTCAGAGTCCCACTTAATGTGTGACTGACAAACTGTCAATTGCCCGCCCATATCAGATACTGTTACTGCTGTTATCAATGCTTTGTGACGTTTGAAGGGGAGGTGATGGTCATCACCAGGGTCACCGAGGGCTCCCAAGGTGCCCCTGATACAGTCACCGCACGGGCCGTGTCACTGCGGCTGGTAGTCCTGAGGGGCTGAGTCATGGGGTGACATCGGTGTTCCCATAATGTGCCCAGGCCCCCTCAGTGGGGCTGTGTCTCGTGTGTGGCTTCGTTGTGGGGATGGCGGCTTCCTAGCTGGGAGGCAACAGCCCATGATGAGTGGGCGTGAGTGGCTCAGCCTTCTCCATCGGGGAGAGCAGATTGAATCTCAAATTGGTGCTTGCATTCTGCACTTAAAACGACTTCTTCACTCAGCACTTTATGAAGCTCAAGTTCAAAGTCCAGAACGAAGGTCTCTTAATGAGTCCTATCTAATGAGGATACAAAGCTTTCATTACAGTGCTTGTAAATGGTCCCTATATAGGTGTGCTTCCTTGTATTTCTTCTGGGCTCATTATGAAATGTTATGCAAGTTGAGGAAACTGAGGCCTGAGTAGGCAGCACCGTGGAGGTGAGGGGACACGGCCAGGAAAGAGCTATGGATTGGTCCCTTGGGCAAAGATCCCATAAAGACAATGATGGACGAGTGTCTGGCGGTCTAAGCCTAACAGAAGTAGCTAGCGTGTACCCAGCCTCTCCCCTGCCCTGAGTACCAGACTCATGGGCCATTGTCTTCCCTCTTCACAGCCATGTCACAGAGTCAGTAGCATAATTGTATCTGCATTTCATAGTCGAAGAAAAGAAGTAAAGGCTTACCGGCTTGCCCAGAGTCACCTTGACGAGAAGGGGCAGATGAGCAGTTTGAGCCCCAGCCTGATTCTAGTCCTTGCCCAGGACGCTGATCTGCCTTCCAAGGGCTGGTCTGCCTCCCCAACTCTGGAGAAGAGCAACTGAGGCCCTCTCCAGCCTGTGTGTCCACAAAACGCCAGAGCCCCGAGGGCTGAGTGAGCGTGGGTGCGCCCCGTGTTCCTTGTTAGGCCTCACAAGGGAACTGGCCCCATCACCGAATCCCGACTCAAGAAGATGTGAAGAGGAGGAGTCTCTACAGCAGTAAAAAAGAGCCAAATCCTGCCATCTGGGGCCACGTGGGGAAGCTTCCCAGACACAGTGCTGGGCAAGAAAAGCCAGACACGACGGCACACAGACCGTACGCCTCATTTAGGTGAAGGACTGACACGGATACAGCCAATCCTGCGGGGATCGAGTCAGGAGGGGAGCTACATTTGGGAAGCCTCCCAGGGGGGTAGAAATGGCTCTCATCTTGGATTGGGGGGTGATGGATGTAAAAAGTCATCAAGCTGCAGGCTTCCGATGTGTGCCTTTTGTTACATCTAATTTGTACCTCCAGCGAATAAAATAGATGCGAAGAAACCAGAGAGTTTTGACTGGGGTAAAAGGGGCAGACAAAGCCATCCGAAAAATGAAAGATGGGCTTGGAGGAGTGGGGTAGAGGTGGTGATTGTCCCAGGGGGTGTTAACAGCCAAGATCTGGACCCCAGTTTGGTCCACTCCCTCTTACAAAGTCTGCAGAGTCAGGCACTTTTCAGGAGTTCCAGAGTGGGGAGTGGGCATGTCCTCTACCCAGGACCGGGGGGGGGGGGGGGGGGCGCGGGAGGCGGGCAGATAGCTTCTGTGGCTCTCTTTACCTGTTTAGTCATTCCCTCATCATCCAGTGTTCACCCGGGGTTTGTGGGGGGCCTGCTGTGTGCCTGGCGCTGTGCGACATCCCAAGGACCCAGCAGTGAAGGAAGAGAGTGACAAAAATATCTGCTGTTGTGTTGCAGTCATCCTGGCGAGGCCAAGAGGATTGTGACTTGAAAGTAATGGTAAAGTACAGAGTATGTTAGTTGGAGAAAAATAAAACCAGGAAAGAGGTGAGGAGTGAAAAGCAGATGGCATCTTCAAACAGGGTGATCCAGGAAGGCCTCCCTGAGAAGGTGGCATTTCAGCAAAGATCAGGAGGACTCTGGAGGCCCTCTCCAGCCTGTGTGTCCACAAAACACCAGAGCCCGGAGGGCTGAGTGAGCATGGGGGCTCCCCATGTTCCTTATTAGGTCTCACGAAGGAACTGGCCCCATCACCGAATCCCAACTCAGCTGCAAGTGCAAGTGCAAACGTCCTGAGGCTGCTGGGCTGCCATGTCTGGTGAGAGGGAAGTAGTGAGGGGTCAGGCTGGCTGGAGGGGTGATGGAAGGAGAGCCACAGAGCTGCAGTCTGGGAGGTGACAAGGGCTCAAGAGTCAGGGCTTGTTCAGACTTGAGCTTTACTGGACCGAGGAGGGGCTTTAGACGGAGGGCTGCCATAACCTGGCGGCATATTTGTAAAGGATGACTCAGCAGGGGCTGTTTCTGCAAGTCACTCAGGGCGCCGTGCCTCTGCTCTCTCACCCAAGCACCTCTGCAGGGGAGAGAAGGGGAAGGGGCCTGGTGCCCCGGGAGAGCATGAGGAGCAGCCCCAGCCCTTCTGGACAGGGAGTGCCAGGGCCTGTGGAGAATGCAGACAGCAGACAGGGACGGTTTCCTTGTAACTCCCCTGGAGGCTTTCCAAGGAGGCAAAGGCTGCCCAGCCAGGTTCCTTAGAAGCTCCTGTCTGGAGCCAGGGAGGGTGAGGTGAGGTGGAGACCGGACCATCCCAGGCAGGGTGGCACCTCCTCTCCCCTTCTACGAGAACTGCTGACCTCACCTCCTCTCCCTGACACAGGAGGTCATTGCTTGGACCTGGGGGAGGTGCAGAGGGCCCTGCTGGGGCCCGACAAACGTCTCCCTCCCTGCCACAAGGCCCTTTCTGAAAAGGAGAGGCTGGAGTGAAAGGAGGAGCAACATTTGTAGGCTGGCTCTCTCACTGCCTGCTGTGTGACTTACACACATCAAGCTCCCACTCTGGGCTGTTCTCCCTCCTATAAAATAAGGGACTGGGCCAGAGGCTCCTAATTTTTTTTTTTTTTAAGATTTTTTTTTCTTTCTTAAGTAGGCTCAAAGCCCAGCGTAGAACCCAACGCAGGGCTTGAACACAAAACCCTGAGATCAAGACCTGAGCTGAGGTCAAGAGTTGGAAGCTTAACGGACTAAGCCAACCACGCACCTCTAAGATTTTATTTTTAAGTCATCTCTACACCCAAGGTGAGGCTCAGACTCACGACCCCGAGATCAGGAGTCTCATGCTCTACCGACTGAGCCAGCCAGGTGCCCTTCCTGATTTTTCCTTCATTCTACAACGATAGCCAGCGATTTCTGCACACCTGGACTCTACACAGGGGCCTGGGCCTCGAGAAGCTCAGGCCAGGGGTCTCTGCGCTGAGCCTTGGTCACTCAGTGGCTTCTTAACTCCCCAAGGGTGAAGTGCAAGTGTGTCCCAGGCAGGCTGACGTTTTGCCTTGTCCTCATTGCCCATGTCCCCTCACCAAGGAAACATGCCAAGTCTTACTTATATTTTTTGTTTGTGTGTTTTTGTTGTTGGTGTTTTTGTTTTTGTTTTTTTTACCAACCGAGCCCCGCCAAGCCTTATGTTTGAAGACACAGTATAGCTCTGCCTTCCAGAGACCTGAAGTCACCCCTCCTGCTTCAGACACAGCCACAGGCTCCCTGGGACTTAAGGAGCAAAAGCTTACCTCTATAGTCTGGTCTTCATGAACCCCATAGTCGAGGCACCTCCTTTCTTGCCTGCAGTCAGCCCTTGGGACTACTCCGCAGCCTCCTCGGACCTCAGAAGGACATCACTTTCCAGTCCAGGTCCTTGATTGGGCTCTGCCTAGCATACCCTCAGTCTGTCAGCTAGCCATTTGCAGAGTCCTTTATATTGACCTGTGTTTTATGAAACATTATTGAATGTTTATAAAAACCCCACGGAGCAGGCATCATCCCCTCCTCTGGAGCCGAGCTGAGTGATTTGCCTCAAGTCACACAGCTAGTAAGGGTGGCTGGAAACCATACCCAGATCTTCTGAAACTCCAGTGCGGAGGCCTGGATCGCTCACAGGGCTTCTCCCCACCCCCGGTCTCCATGCGGGCCTCTCTGCTCTGGGTGGACCACAGCTGTCTGAGGGCAGGGCCTGGACCTCCTCCGCCTCCCCGAAGTGGGCCATGGTTGTCTAGCACATGCTCTTCCCCTTGCTCCGAGGGGAGCACTTCCTATTGTCCAGGTCAGGGCTGGGAGAGCAGGCTCTTCCCGGCAGCCACCAAAGGGCAGGATTGGCCCTCCCAGGTGCCCCAGCGCTCCCACCACTAGGCAGGTAGGGCTCACTGCTGCCCAGACACGCAGTTGCCATGACTCACCCACAGCCTGGGCACCACCCCACTTGCCTTGAGAAGAGCTATGGAAACCAGCTGGGTGGGTCCACCCACTTTCCCTGCCAGCCCAGGCCCTAGCAGTGTGGCCCTTGCTTTTCCCATTGGGACAATGGGCTTAAGGAGATAACACTTCAAACCTCCAGGTCTGCTTACCAGTTAGAGATTTCCTCCATCAAAATATACCTGATCCAGGGGCGCCTGGGTGGCTCAGTCAGTTAAGTGTCTGCCTTGGCTCAGGTCATGATCTTAGGGTGATCGAGCCCCGCACCGGGCTCCCTGCTCGGCGGGGAGTCTGCTTCTCCCTCTCCCTCTGTGTGTGCTCATGCTCTCTAGATCTCACTGTCTCTCAAATAAATAAATAAAATCTTAAAAAAAAACCCACCTGATCCACCATGTTCCCTGAACTCATGAGAAAGATTCTCTGATTCTGGGGGAATATCATCCTCTTGGATATTAACAATGGCCGCTAACATTTGTCAACAGCTAACTATATGCTTAGCACTATCTAAACATAACAAAGCTTTTGAATTTCCCGTGATCCTGGGTAGGAGAGTAAGAGCAAACATTTGCATCCAGCTGTGTAGGTGGCAGGACAGAGTGTCACTGGTAAAGAAGAGAGCGAAGCTGGCTCACTGTCAGTGACAGAGTGAAGTCTTGTCACCTTGGCATCTGCCTCCACCAGCTCCCGAGCTCTATTTCCAAGGCATCAAGCTGCCTTCTAGGAGCAAAGAGGATTCTGTTTCTGTTTCAGAGCAAAGGTTAATAATGCAAGAAGTTACAGATGTACACAGCCTCTGATGTTGTGACTTCATCTTTATTAGAAATGGGAGCAAGGCAAGGAGAGGGTCCTGGTGAAACCTGAGACAATTAATGCGGTCAGAAAGAGGCAGGAATCCAAGTAGGCCCAGATACAAAAGCAAAGTGAATGCCCTGAACTAAAATGCTAACGGAGGCAAGTTGGGGCCAGCGCCACACAATTTTCTAGAGTGGTTTAGTGAATTGGGTAGAGCCTGCTAGTTGCCTACATTGTATAAGAGCTGATTGTAAACGGTTCAAAAAGCTGACACCGAAAGCTTTCAGCAAACGTGACTTTTAAAAAGCACATCATTTTGAACCCAGGAGGTGAATGTGGCAGGCCAGCTTGCAGAGGCCATTTCTCTGCTGATGCTGTTTTTAAAAGCAGCACCATCATTTTAGATCACTGGTTTGATTGGCTAATTACACAGGGTGAGTAAATTTGTCCTGTGGAGATAGTTAGCTCAGGGAGCGGAGTCGTTAGAGTGGGAGAGTGGGAGGCAGAAAACAATCCTGGTTTTCAGCTCTGGGGAGTTTCAGGCACCAGATCCAGAGATTCAGACCTGGAAGGGAAAGGGGTAGGTCTGAGCTGGAAGAGAGCTGTTGGTATCCTTGCAGGCTTAGGACCGTGAGGCCTGTGGGCAGCTCTGCCCAAGCAGCTTCTGCTCTCAAGGGGCCTCCAGCCAGTGGGCCTATTGTCAACTGCTCTACCTTGTTCTGGAAGCTCCTTCAGGGAAACAGCCTTAGAGAAAAGAGGTTGCCATGGCACAGCACTGAAGGAAGATCTAATGGAATTGTTCACCAGTATTTTATAAAAGATCTCGGAGTAATTTTTGACATATATCTTGGAAAGAATTCAAAGAATTGAGTGGCATTGGAATAACCAAACCCCTTCTAACTCTGATTATGTGAGCAAGGCTTCAAAGCTCATACATGAATTAAAATGTACTATGGGTAGTACTGATGGTGATTCCTATCTCTGTCTAGGCATAAATAACATTGATGAATGTATATATGAATGTGCATTTAAAAAATCCATCTAAATAAAATTTAACTCTCCATATTCAAATTGCTATCAATATTTGTAAAGCATTTGTGTGGCTTTGATCAATTAGGTATAACTGCAATGGCATCTCTAGCCAGAAGAATTAACACTTCAAGACGCTGTGTCTCTGTCAAATAAATAAATAAAATCTTAAAAAAAATAAAATCCTTAAAAAAAATCTTTAAAAAAAAGTAAAATCTTTAAAAAAGAGATTGTATTTATTTATTTGACAGAGAGACACAGCGAGAGAGGGAACACAAGCAGGGGGAGTGGGAGAGGGAGAAGCAGGCTTCCCGTGGAGCAGGGAGCCCAATGCAGGGGCTCGATCCCAGTACCCTGGGACCACGACCTGAGCTAAAGGTGGACGCTTAATGACTGAGCCACCCAGGCACCCCAATAAATAAAATCTTTTAAAAATTAAAAAAAAAAAAGACACTAAGGCATGAAAATGAATAGCATGTATGATAAAATCCTGTGGTGACAATGGGATGGAGATAGGAGTTGGAAGGAGAGAAAGGCATAACATAAAATTTCTGACCAGAATTTGTCCATATACTTTTTTCAAAGGATGGTGGCGAGCAGGGCTACCCCTGAAAGGTGTGGCTCCAGTTCCTCAACAAATGCCCCAGCCCAACATAGTGTACTTGAAAGGAAGCCACACTATAGATGCCTTTTATTGACACCGTTTTGGGATATAATTGAAGATAAAAATTTCAAAATTGCATTCTACTGGTGCTCAAAAAAGAGGAGCCGATGTGCAACACCTTGCAAAAACCCTCCAAGTACATCCTCTGCAACTACGTAAGGTTATAATTTTAAAAAATGATATCAGCTTAAAAGCATACAAAGGGATACACCACTTTTCAAATGTCTTTTAGGAGACACGTGAGCAAAAGAGTATAAAGACAAAAGTCAGCAGTGGCGATCAAGATGACCATCCACACACACACACACAAAAGATGACCATCCACATCCACTTTTCTCAAGAAACTTATGTATGGGGCACCTGGCTGCCTCAGTCAGTGGAGCATGCGACTCTTCATCTCAGGGTTGTGAGTTCAAGCCCCATGTTGAGCGTAGAGATTACAAAGAAAGAAGAGAAGAGAAGAGAAAAAAAGAGAAAGAAACTCTTACCTAACTTGGGAGAAGTGAGAAGAACCATTTGCTCTCTCCCTTTTCTGACCTAAACCCAATTCCCACAAGAACTGTGGTATAGAAAAAAAAAGGGGGGGGGGGGGCTTGAACTCATGACCCCGAGATCAAGAGTCACACACTCCACTGACTGAGCCAGTCAGGCGCCCCAGTCTCCCCTTTCCAGTCCTCAGTTTCCCCCTGCAAAGAAATACTGGATCATATATTTTTAAATTTTATTAATTTTAGAGACAGAGGGTGGGTGGAGGAGCAGAGGGACAAGAAGACTCCCGGCTGAGCACAGAGCCCGATGCAGGGCTCGATCTCAGGACCCTGAGACCATGACCTGAGCTGATACCAAGAGTCAGACATTTAACCAACTGAGCCATCCAGGCACCCCTGGATCATATTTTTAAATGTACACTTAAAAGGCACAATCTTATACTAAAGGTTTGTGATCATGAATGTTCCTTCTTTAAAAAAAAAAAAGTAACATTTTTAGACTCTTAGCTATTTTTTAATATTTAAAGCTCATTGAGGTTTTCTCCTCCTCTCCCCACTCTGCTCCCGGAGAGTAACGAACACATCTCTGGGTGAAACATATGCCAGTTTTGAGACCCTGTGTCCCATAGATTTCTGCGTTTCTGTCTGGTTCGAAGTCCCTCGTCCCCTATCCCCAAGACAGTCTTATCTTAGCTCTAACTGAGCTGGTGTTGTCCATGAGTCCATCAGTAAAGAACTAGTCACTAAGCATCTACTACTCACGTGCCATTCCTCAAGCATGAAGACTACAGACAGAAAAGAGAGTCCCAGCTCTTGAGGAGCTCTCCGTCTCGTGAGGGAGGAATGTATGTCTGAGTAATCGCAGAAATACAACTGCAAACACAGGAAAGTGCTGCGGTGAGGGCACAGAGGGAGGGAGTGGTCAACCCTTCTGGTGGGATTGGTCAGACTTTCTAGAAATATTTGAAGTAGTGGGCAGATTGGAGGAGAACGTGGAAGGCATTTCTAGCACAGAGAAGTATATGAGGACATGATGACACAGGGAGTCCTGGGAACTGAGAGTGTATCTGGAGGGCAGAGGGTTGGGATGGAGATTGGGGCTGAGGATGGAAGTCAAGAGATTAGCTGAGATAGGTTGGGGAAGCAGGAGACTGATCATGGAGTCTGGTCATTATCCTGAAAGGAGGGGGAAGGGGGCATGGCACATCCAGGAAGAAGGAAGTTGAGAATGGGCTGGAGAGGTTAGACCCAAGGCAAGGAGACTAGATCAGAGGCTACTGGGGTGGTTCAGGTAAGAGATGATAAAGGCCCAATGAAGGC